GTTGAGAAAATTGAATTGAAAGGAGTTGGAAGAAGGGGTGGGCACTCAGACCCTGCCCCCTCGGGCATATGGATGCCACTACAGGGAAAGCATAGAAGTCTTATCTGATCCATGGGAAAGTGTTGGCTAACCTACTTAAGCTTAGTCATTTAGCAAACATTTATTGAATGCCTGCTGTATGCTGGGCAAACCCAGGAGACACGGCAGCCCCTGTTTTCCTGGAACTTGTCTTATAAGGGATATCGACCCTGATCAGATTTTTTTAAGTATGCAAACAAATCAACCTTATCATATATAATTGCAAAGCATGCTATGAAGGGAGAAGTTCCAGATGCTGTGAGAGCATCTATAGGAAAACCTGACCAACGCTAGGGGATCGTCACACAGTGTTCTCCTGAAAAGCTGACATTTGGGCTGAGATCAGAAAGACATCCAGGAGCTAAAGTTGGTAAATAATGATCACTCATCTTTATGGAGCATTTACCAACGTAGGCTTTCCTCACTGCATTAACTTCTGTAACCCACCCAGCAAGCATGGAGGCTGGTATTGTTATTTTCCCCATTTTACAGAAGACTAAACTGAAGCAAAATGTCACAAATGCACATGTAGGCCTTTGGCTCCAGGTGGCAACCCATAGTCCAAGGCTTTGGAGGCAGGTGTGGCTTGGGAGTGAGAGAAGCCGAGACTGCTGATGCACAGGGTGGTCAGTCTAGATGAAGCTGGCAAGGCAAGAAATGGCCACATCACGTAGGTTATGATATTCTTGTCAAAAATTGTCCTGTTTTTCCTACGACAGTAAGAGATATTTTAAACCAGGGAACACATGATCGTATTTATGTTTTAGAAACCTCACTCAGGCTGCTGTGTGGAAACTGGATTAGAAAGAGGCAAAGGGGCGCCTGGGTGACTCAGCTGGTTAAGCGTCTGACTTCGGCTCAGGTCAGGATCTCGTGGTCTGTGAGGTCAAGCCCTGCGTCGGGCTCTGTGCTGATGGCTGAGAGCTTGCAGCCTGCTTCAGATTGTGTCTCCCTCTCTCTCTGCCTCTCCCCCACTCACACTCTGTCTCTCTCTTCCTCAAAAATAAAGAAACATTAAATTTTTTTTTAAAAAAAGAGGCAAAGAAGAGGCATACAGATCAGTTAGGAGGCCATTGCAGTAACCCAGGCACAAGATAATGCTGACCAGGAGTGTGGCTTGCCTGAGGAGAGGTAGAGAAGTAGACAGACCAAGCACTTCCAAGTAAGTTAAAAAAGAGACTCTCCCTTAGAAGCAATGGTGTGAAATATGCTAATTACTAATTACTTTTATCTAGTCCTTTCATAGGAAGTATGGAAGTATTGTGTTAATTTCAGTACACAGCATAGTGATTCAGCATCTCTATACATTACACTGTGCTCACCACAAGTTGTAGCTACCCTCTGTCACCATATGAGGCTATTATCATATCATTGATTATATTCCCTATGCTGTGCGTTTTATTCCTGTGACTTATTCATGTCATAATCAGAAGCCTGTGTCTCCCACTCCCCTTCACCCGTTATGCCCAACCCCTGCACTCCTCCCCACTGGCAACCATCAGTTTTTTTCCCTATATTTATAGGTCCGATTTTGCTTTTTGTTAATTTATTTGTTTTTTAGATTACACATATGAGTGAAATCGTGGTATTTCTCAGTCCAACTTATTTTGCTTAGCACAATACCCTCTAGATTCATCCATGTTATTGCAAATGGCCAGATCTCATCCTTTTTTTATGGCTAATATTGTGTTGCATATATGTACCACATAGGAAGCATGGAAGTTCTTAAACTGGTCCCATACACAATAAAATTGTACCAAGGACTGCCTTGAAACATTCTATACTATATTTAACCAACTGAAAACCATGTCAAAGGCCTGCTTCTTGGCACCTCTGTCACATGATCCATCATCTTGGCCCCTTCTGCCTACTGGCAGGGCAGTTGCCCAGGCCTGTAATTAGAACTGTCACATTCCTGAGGAGCTGCTGTGGCCAAGGCCCCCAGGGCAGAACCCTGGTGGGTTCCGTCAGACGTTCACGCTATTCTAGGAAATGCCCCATTTACCAACTCTAAATGTCAGCCCACAATTCCTTGGCTTCTCCATGTTTGGTTCCCAGATTATTTACTTACTAGATGGCTGGAATGGAGTTCTGGTGAATAATGTCTCTCCTGCCAAGATGACAAATTGGGTTTCTAAAGACAGACATGTGGCTCTGTGCGGAAATAATATTTTGGGCATGAGTATCTTTGGCTGAATAGAATAATATGGAAAATGTGAAGCCCTGGATGGCTTTCTCTGTTAGTGGTTTTCTAACAGAGCCACTAACTCTGCAGAGACGCAGAGAACATTCAGCTGTGGAGGAGGCAGAGACTAAGCCAAACTGGACCAGCTATTTCCTCAGCCTCTGGGAAGCATCCTCCTTGTTCCTGATTAAGTCCCTTTAAGAAGCAGATGATATGTCTTATGTTCTAACAAAAGGAACATCAAGGCCTTTCAGAACCGGAGAATGTCCCCTGTCAGACTGGAGTTGGGGTTAGTAGCTCCTATTTGTAGAGTGCATGCTGATTTGATGAGGCATTTGACTGTATCCTCGAAATCCTGTTACACTCATTTCAAGTTTGATTATGTCTTTGTGAGGCAGAATAAGAAAGGCTAAAAAAAACACACACACACACACACACACACACACACACACACACACACACAACAGGCTTGCCTTTCTCTGGGGTGTCCAGGAAACTGCCACAGTCGTTTCTAAAACGGACAGTGCCTTTTCCTCCTGGACGAAGTGTTCTCTGCCATCTCGTGGACGTGTTGGGAACTGCACCTCCCAATTGCACTTGCATCTCTGGGTTCATAGGAGGAACTACTGTCTCTAACCTTCCCCAGGTGAGAAGGTGAGAAGGGGCTACCACACCAGCCCTGGTCCAGGCTCCAGGATTGCCCAAATAAGAACCAGTGCAGAGAATAATGAGGATGATGACTGTGTTAACCTTCCCTGCTCCTCTGCAATGCGTGAGATCATCTATAACTGTTAGGGCTGACACCTGCCAGTCACCCATGAGATTGTACACCACAGGTGGAGATGGGGCAAGCCCTGCACGGGGCCTCCAGTCAGGTGCTTTTGTAAGAGTCAAGTTCCAAAACTTTGGTCTTTTTTCTTTTTTCTTTTTTTTTTTTTCCAGAGGGAGCAAGAAAATGGGAAACTAAAGTGGGCAACAGCTGTTTCCTGCTTCTGAGGTGCTGGTATTTGCTGCACTTCTGCTCTTTGGTATTAGGCTGGAATGGGGGCTGCTCTATAGGACCAGAGAAGGAGTGAGGTTTTCATGACATCCACCCCAGCTTGTCTTAGGTGAAAAGAGAAACCCAGAAACAGCTTGGGGTGGAAAGGTGCAGCACTGGATTTAGTGAGCGACCTTTGGCAACCGACTCTTTCAGGCATTGTGAGACAAGCAAGCATAGGCTGTGTTGGGCAGTGGAGAGAACAGAAGCTCCAGTTTCACCCCCGCTTTCAGTCTGCTCTCCTTCACATACCAGCCATACTGCACATAACGCATGTACCAGTGTGACCTTGGGCACATTGCCTATGACAATCAACGTTCTCATCTGTAAAGTGGAGACAGTAATAGAACCTGCCTCATGGAATGCTTAGAAGATTAAATGAGATCTAGTGCACAGCCTGGCTCTGGGCCAGCTCTCATAACCAATCCATGTGAGTAACAAATGTGCTGAAGTTTTCCTGGCCCCTCTGTAAACCTCTAATAGGAAGGACTGGTCAGGGTGTTTGGAGGGTGAGTAGAAAGAGTAATGGGTCAAGGGTATCTGGGGTTTTTTTTAAGTTTGTTTATTTTTAAGAGAGAGAGAGCGTGAGAGAGAGCGGAGGAGGGGCAGAGGGGAGAGAGGATCCAAAGCAGACTCTGCACTGACAGCAGCAAGTCCAGTGCAGGGCTCAAACCCATGAACCCATGGGATCATAACCAGAGCCAAAGTCAGACGCTCAAGCGACTGAGCCACCTATATATAATCTGTGATTCAAAACAGCCAGACTGGGTCATTAGCTCTCTGGAGGTAAGATGCGAACTGCAGTGTGCCTGAAGGAGCGTTGCACTTACAGAAACATGCCAAGTGCTTAGAAGCCAGGGCCTGTGCCCCATACGGCAGGGCTCCCCACCCTTGTGCAAGCGTGTGTCCAGGAGGCAGTGGTGGGGGAAGCCCCTCAGCCTCTGGGTCTGAGTTGGCTCCCAGGCTGTCCCCAGGGGACCCCTTTGAGACAGAAGTCGGCAGAATCTAGCCTGTATGAGGTCTGGCTGGATGAGTAGTGTGCGTGCCAGATGACTGCCAGGGTGAACGTGGCTCTTCTGAAAAGCACCTAAAGGAATTCCAATTTTAGCAGCAAAACCTGAGGACAGGCTCAGTTGTTTCTACTCATGTTCCACTAAGGATCCTAAGCTCTAGATTGTACGTCTAGGGTTTCTAGAGGTTGTCATCACCTCATAAGGGAAGGAAATACACATTTATTATCTACTGTGTGCCAGGCACTGTGCTAGGAAGTTTAGACCACCCTGTGAAGTAAGAATCATTATTTCGTCCATTTTACAGGTGAGGAAACTGAAATACAGGGAAGTGAAGTGGCTTGGCTATTCTACCCAGCTATTGAGAATTGAGCCTGAGTCAGGATAGAGGTAGGATAATCTTGGCCCCACCGCGGTTTTGTGTCCCCCACTGTACCAGGCGCAGGACCATAGATGTGGGAAGAGCTTACCAAACACTTGCTGAGTTGAAAATGGAAGGATTCATGTGCCAAAAGGGCCTTCGGAAATGCGCAGATGTCCGAGCGCAGCTCTGAAAGACAAGCTATGTGGGGCAGCAGCTAGCACATCATCAATTCAGAATTCCCTGTCATCTGGCCTGTGGCCTGCTGGCCTGCAGCCAAGCTGTGTACAAGGGCTGATTTGATCAGCTTTGGCTCTTCTGTTTTAGGCACTCCACCTTCCAAAGAGGTGCCAGCTGGGAAGTACCCATTCATAGTCACGTCCGATGATGGGCGGAAGGTTCCTGTGGTCCAGGCTTATGCTTTTGGCAAATACTTAGGCTATTTGAAGGTTGAGTTTGATGAAAAAGGAAATGTCATCGCTTCGCATGGAAATCCCATTCTTCTCAACAGCAGCATTGTGGAAGGTGGGTAAATGATGGCTGGACTTTGTTCTTGTTGTTAATGTTTCTTTTTTTTTTTTTTTTTTCAACATTTATTTATTTTTTTTGGGGACAGAGAGAGACAGAGCATGAACGGGGGAGGGGCAGAGAGAGAGGGAGACACAGAATCGGAAACAGGCTCCAGGCTCTGAGCCATCAGCCCAGAGCCTGACGCGGGGCTCGAACTCACGGACCGCGAGATCGTGACCTGGCTGAAGTCGGATGCTTAACCGACTGCGCCACCCAGGCGCCCCATTGTTGTTAATGTTTCAAGGCAAGGCTGTAACACCTTTAAAGAATAGAATTCTCTCTTAAGTTTGCCCTCTTCATGGATAAGAAGATTGAAAATACACTCAAATGCCCAATATCCCATTTGCTTTCCCAGTTCCTCTCAGCATCAGACACCGTGTCACTGCCTCTTGTGTCTTTTCAAGCTTTGTCCAGGCATGGAAAAGCCACTCAGCTCATGTCCAGAGGAGAGCTGCAAAGGGGTTCAAAGCCCCACCACCAGCAGTGTGCCCACGGCAAGTTGCCCAGTCTCAGTGGGCTTCTGTTTCTTTATCACATGAGGGAGTGTCTTTTTTACTTTTTTGTCTGGGACTCAGAATAAAATACATCTTAAGTCACCTGTTTACATGTGGTGTACATGACCACAGCCCTGGGCCTCTCTCACCATGATTGGACCAGGGAGAGATGGGCAGTGGGGTGCCCTGCAGAGCCTGTGCTCACAGCACAGACCATCTCAACAGCCAGAGGGAGAGGCCGGGACTGCACAGCAGAACCTCAGAAGGCCCTGTAGACCTGCCCTGGGGACCTTTCATCATCCCCACTCTTCCCCACGCCACCCCCCCCCCCCCCCCCCCCGCAATGCTATCCCAAGTGGGTCCACAGGTGCTCATTCAGGTGTGATGAGTTGATGTTAGGATACTCAGTGCATCTTTAAGTTCAGATCCATTCCTAGTCTTATTACCAAGGAACAGAATTTTCTGAGGAAATTTTATAGTCAAAACGAAAATGTAGACAAATAGGGTAAAGAAATGTATAGTCACAACAGGTAAGCTAAATGATCTTTGATTCTTTCTCCAAAATTTAGGCCAGGGTGAGATCTGCCTTAATGGCAACCTGATTTTTTTGTTTTTTGTTTTGTTTTCTTCTGTTTTACTTTTTTCTAGATCCAAGCATAAAAGCAGACATTAACAAATGGAGGATAACTTTAGACAATTTTTCTACTCAGGAATTAGGGAAAACAATTGTCTATCTGGATGGCTCCACTCAGTCATGCCGCTTTAAGGAATGCAACATGGGCAACCTGATTTGTGATGCCATGGTGAGTGGTCCCCAGGAGTGCAGGGCCTGTGCTTAGAGGAAGAGGGGAGGGAGGAAGGTTGCAAGGAGGGACAGCCTGTTACAAAATTCAAGGTCTTTAAAAATTAATATGCAAACAATAGCTTGGGGTAGATTCATACTGAGTAGTACCTTGGGAAGGGGCCTAAACTATACCAGTTGACCATCACTTTATTGCACAAGAACTGAAAGCTTTATTGATAGGTATTAACCTTGGATGTCTGAATTTTGGATGTTGCTTTCCTTTTATAAGATGATCTGAATACGTGAAACTTCACTATTCTGAAGATGTAGACATAGTAGATAAAACACATTTGCTTGGGCCTAAATTGGCCAGAGTGTCTCACTGATCTGCCCTCTTGGATCCAGAGAACAAGGCTTTGTGTGACTGGAAGCCTCCTTCACAAGCAGAGAATGACGACATGCAGTTATGATAAGGCCTGTGGCTGAATAGATCGCTCAAGAAAACACCCCACTGTCTACCTGTCTACAAGAGACTGGCTGTTGGCAGCCCCTGGGGAGCCATGCTGAACCAGGGTCCCCAGGCCAGACTTAACACTCCCACCAAAGTCCGCACCCAGAGGGCTGATTCTTTGTGCTTGGCACTGTGCTTGGTACCTGGAGCCCAGTGCCTGATATATATACTCTCAATAACTGACTGCCAAGTAAATGACAATGTCCACACTTCCCAAGGTCAGACCAGTGCTGGCTCTTCAACATTATGCAGTCACACAAAAGAAGTAGCTAAAGACACTTTTCATAGATGCCATGATACTCTACATGGAAAACCTGAAGGACTCCACCAAAAGGCTGCTAGAACTGATACATGAATTCAGCATAGTTGCAGGGTACAAAATCAATGTACAGAAATTGGTTGCATTTCTATACACCAATAATGAAGCAACAGAGAAATCAAGAAATTGATCCCATTTACAATTGCACCAAGAACCATAAAATACCTAGGAACAAACCTAACCAAAGAATAAAAGATTTGTATGTTGGAAACTATAGAACACTTATGAAGGAAATTGAAAAAAAACACAAATGGAAAAACATTCCATGCTCATGGATTGGAAGAACAAATATTGTTAAAATGTCAGTACTACCCAAAGCAATCTACATATTCAATCCAATCCCAATTAAAATTGCACCAGCATTCTTCTCAAAGCTATAACAAACAGTCCTAAAATCTGTATGGAACCACAAAAGACCCCAAATAGTCAAAGTAATATTGAAAAAGAAAACCAAAGCAGGAGGCATCACAATCTCAGACTTTAGCTTCTATTACAAAGCTGTAATCATCAAGACAGTATGGTATTGGCACAAAAATAGACACATAGACAAAAGGAATAGAATAGAGTACCCAGAATTAGACCCACAAATGTATGGCCAACTAATCTTTGACAAAGCAGGAAAGAGCATCCAATGGAAAAAAGTCTCCGATGTTGGGAGAACTGGACATCAACATACAGAAGAATGAAACTAGACCACTTTCTTATACCATACACAAAAATAAACACAAAATGGATGAAAGACCTAAATGTGAGACAGGAAACCATCAAAACCCTACAGGAGAAAGCAGGAAAAAACCTCTCTGGCCTCAGCCGCAGCAATTTCTTGCTCGACACATCTCCAAAGGCAAGGGAAACAAAAGCAAAAATGAACTACTGGCACCTCATCACGACAAAAAGCTTCTGCACTGCAAAGGAAACAATCAACAAAACTAAAAGGCAACTGACAGAATGGGAAAAGATATTTGCAAATGACATATCGGATAAAGGGCTAGGATGCAAAATCTATAAAGAACTTACCAAACTCAACACCTGAAAAACAAATGATCCAGTGAAGAAATGGGCAGAAGACATGAATAGACACTTTTCCAAAGAAGGCATTCAGATGGCCAACAGACACATGAAAAGATGCTGAATATCACTCATCATCAGGGAAATAAAAATCAAAACCACACTGAGATACCAGCTCACACTGGTCAGAGTGGCTAAAATGAACAACTCAGGAAACAACAGATGCTGGCAAAGATATGGAGAAACGGGAACCCTCTTGCACTGTTGCACTCGTGCGGCCGCTCTGGAAAACAGTGTGGAGGTTCCTCAAAAAATTAAAAATAGAACTACCCTACAACCCAGCAATAGCACTACTAGGAATTTATCCAAAGGATACAGGAGTGCTGATTCATAGGGGCACATGTACCCCAATGTTTATAGCCACACTTTCAACAACAGCCAAATTATGGAAAGAGCCTAAATGTCCATCAACTAATGAATGGATAAAGATGTATTTTATATCTATAATGGAATACTGCTTGGCAATGAAAAAGAATGAAATCATGCCATTTGTAGCAAGGTGGATGGAACTGAAAGTTATTATGCGGAGTGAAATAAGTCAGAGGACAGATCATGTTTTCACTCATATGTGGATCTTGAGAAACTTAACAGAAGACCATGGGGGGAGGGAAGGGGAAAAAAAGTTACAAACAGGGAGGGAGAAAGGCAAACCATAAGGGACTCTTAAATACAGTAAACAATCTGAGGGTTGATGGGGGAGGGTGGGGGAGAGGGAAAAATGGGTGATGGGCATTGAGGAGGGCACTTGTTGAGATGAGCACTGGGTATTATATATAAACAATGAACCATGGGAATCTACCCCAAAAACCAGGAGCACACTTTACACACTGTATGTTAGCCAATTTGACAATACATTATACTTTAAAAAATCATAATATTAAAGAAGAATCCTATTTTGAAAAAAAAAAAAAAAAGTAGCTAAAGAGTAGCCAGTATGGGAATGTTTAGAGAAAAGTCTGGAAGGAAACAAGCTGTTAGCAGTGCTTACCTCTCTTTTAAGAGGCAGAGGCAAATGTTAAGACAACACTTGCTTTTGTGCTATTTTTTTTTTCAAATGAGAATATATTCATTTTATTTCTTGTAACTAAACACATATTTTTGTAAAAGAAAAGAAACGGATTCTCCCATTTCAGGAGGCCATCTCTGTGCCTCCAAAATTGCCAACTTGGAAATTTGACATGGAGGCCAGGGATCTTGTTGGCTTGAGGTCCTGAGTGGAAAGGTTTTCAGGTCACGTCTTCAGGAGCAAGTGTGGGGCCTGGAAGAGGTGGGGAAGGAGAGGTGTGGTGGACCAATTTGCATGGAGGTCCTGTCCTGACACAAGAGCCAGTTTTGCTAATGCCCACTGGCCTGAGAGTAGAAGGGTCTTAGGAAAGGGGGCTCAGGGCTACTTGCTTCTAAGAGTCTGACACGGGACTGGTCACTATTTCTTATTTTTGCTTCTCAGAGCATAAAACTAGTTCTGACTGACTATACTTGAGAAATCTCTGGGAACACAGGAGCAGGAAGAAGCAGCTTTATTTCCATGGTAGAGATAACCAAATCCCTAAAACTGATACTATGGAAGAAGGTCTAGAATAACTAATGTAAATTCATGCTACTGTTGCAGATTAACAACAACATTAGACACTCGGATGAAGTGTCCTGGAACCATGTGTCCATGTGCATTCTAAATGGAGGTGGCATTCGGTCACCCATTGACGAGCGGAACAACGGTATGCTTCCCAGGCTCAGGGTGTCAGCTCAGGTCTCTCTCTGACCGTGCCCCTGGGTGGCCTCAGCTCATCTGTCCTGTCAGCCATGTACCACAATGTCAGCCTCTCCAGTTTCGGTTAACTGCTACTCAAGTCAGTGCCTAAGCAGAAGGGCACACACATGCTTGTGTGTTCTCATATGTATTCACACAGAGTGGAGAGCGAGGGTGAATGGAACCCAATCTTGATCTAAACTTCTGACACACAAAGCCAAATGCTAATTATTGCTGATTACCAACAGCCGCCTCCTTGATACCTGGAAAGAGAAAGGGACAAACTGTCCATGTTCTGTGCTGGAAAAAAACAAAAACAAAACAAAACAAAAAAAACAACAACACCCTACTGGATTAAATTCTTTTAGTGCATTTACAGATATCCAGGATCTTGCATGGTAAAACAAACCAACTAGTCAGATATTCAAACCGCTCTTGCAGTCTTCCCTGATCTGCTGTCAAACCAGGTAGTCTCAGTGTAAAGCCCCAAGCTCATCTCATTGTCAAACAAGGACAGGTGGCAGGGACACACTGCCTGTTTGGAGGAACTGAGCAATGCTCAACACCCACTGAAGACCCAGCTATAAGCCAGAGATCCAGGGCAGAGCACTGGTGACTTTGGAGCCACAGCCATTTATGAGCACCTGCCATCTTGCCCAGTGGTTGAGAGCATGGCCAGAGGCCTCTTGAATCCATTCCCTCCCTGAGTGTCAGGAACCACTCACACAGCTGATGCTGTACTAATAGCCTTCCAATAGCCTCTTGTCTCCCTCATCTCCACCAACCCTAAAGGAAGCTGGTCTTGGGGTAATCTTATTCTCAAGCTGTTTTCCTTCTCACCCCATCTACAACTACCGTCAGGCACAATTACCTGGGAGAACCTGGCTGCTGTGTTGCCCTTCGGAGGAACCTTTGACCTGGTCCAATTAAAAGGCTCCACCCTGAAGGCGGCCTTTGAGCACAGCGTGTACCGCTATGGCCAGTCCACTGGAGAGTTCCTGCAGGTGGGCGGTAAGTCACCCTTTGAAGTGAAGTGGGTTTGTCCTGCTGGTTGGCTTAGTTCCTCACTCCCCAGGACCTCTACTGCCAGATTTGTTTAGGTTTTCCCCCCACCCAACATGAATGCATAGTCTCTCAATGGTCATGGGCTCCCAGACCAACTGAGATTAGGTCAGGGTCAACGCCTCAATGCCTTGGCAATGAGCAGTAGTTGCTACGCCTGATTTGGATGTCAGATAGACTCACTATAGGAGCTGGCCCTCCAGACTCTAAGCAGGTCAGCGGCCTTGAGGTCTAGTTTCTATTAAAATCTTAGTTGTTTAAACACTCAGTATTCTTTTGTAGAAAAAAACCAAAACCACCATTCTCTGTTCTATTCATAATTGCCTGGTACCATGCAGAGGTTCAAAAGAATTCAATATCCAATCAGTATTAGCAAGGATGATGTCTGGGAGGGGCGGCCGACTACATAGACACATCGGAACACCTGGTTCTAGTTCCACTGTGACGTGGGACAGGTCTTCAACCTCTCTGAATGTTCTGAAAACATCTGCCCTGCTCATCTCATGGATCACAGTGAAAACTGAATGAAAATAAATGCTTCCCAAATTGCCAAGGACTTGTGAATGTGAAACACTTTTGTCAATAATAACTTCCACAGTCCAACGAATTAATCGTTAAATTTATAACCTTGATACTGATACCATAATTTGCCCCCCCCTTTTTTTTTTTTACTGTAGATGGTGGGCCTCACTTGATAGTGTGATTGCTTTGTCAAGTCCTCCTTCTATAGAACCCCCAACTCTTTGGATTGAGGGGGGGAGCTGCAGATGGTGGTGGAGCCATGGCCTAACGCCTGTGGGGTAACCCACACATTCTGCACTTTTCCAGGAGAGACGTGGGGGGAACAACAGGGTTTTGATGCTCCATCACAGTGCTGGGTAGTTACATGTCTTGTGAAAGGCATCCAAACCCAAATTATTATCATTTAGTAGTCTTCAAAATTAGAACAAATGTTCTGTACCTCTCATCTATTTCTCATTTTCCAAAGCCATTGAACCAAGTGGCTGACCAACTCATTTAGGATTTTAAAAAGATGTGGTTTCTCCCTGCACTGTTACCCCTTGCCCATACTGAGGCAGAGCCAGTTTTCCTCTCAGTGGTTCTCAGACCTCCCAAGACTCAAGGATAAACCTAACCAAGAAATGCAAACGCAATCTAACCAAATGCTGCAATGTCACCTCAATTCTTGCTGAAATTTCACTCAAGCTCAAACTCAGTGAAAACCAAGCCCAGTGCCCCAATTCCATATTTTGGCCAAATCTCTTTCTTAGAAAACAGAAATTTCCCTCTGGATCCAGTGAAAACATACAGATTCATTTCTTTTCTAGGAATTCATGTGGTGTATGATCTTTCCCGAAAACCTGGGGACAGAGTGGTCAAATTGGATGTTCTTTGCACCCAGTGTCGAGTGCCCAGTTATGAGCCTCTCAGAATGGATGAGATATATAAGGTTATCCTTCCAAGCTTCCTTGCCAATGGTGGAGATGGATTCCAGATGATAAAAGATGAAGCATTAAGACACGACTCTGGTAAGCACAAGTGTCTCTTCCTCTCCCTACTCCAAAGTACTCCAGAACAAAACTGGGCCAAAGAGGGAAGCTACTCAGGATGCCAGGACTGCAGTGCCAGAAATCAGATCCTGCCCCTTTGTTGCCGCCTCCCTCCTGCTTTGTTGGAAAATAGCAGCACTGCATTGGAGAATATGTGCCCTACCCCTCTTCGGCACACGTAGCCACCCATCCAAGCCCAAAATGTTTTAAAATTCTGTTAAGTATGTATAAACAGCTATTTAAATTGTGAAATATCAATGGGTTTTGCACTTAACGAGAAACCTCATCTCTAGAACTTTAGATTGGATCTGGAAAATCCTATAAGCTTTCTTGAAGCTTTTAGTGTGAATAGGTCAGGTAGGAGTAGATGGGCTGTGCTCCCCTCCCCCTTTTTAGCACATTGGGTTGGTGGAGTATTGAAAGGAACAACCACACCTGACCTCAGTATTTTTGGCAGCATTTAGGGTCATTATACTGCAGCCTCACTTTTAAAAATCATATGGAAGTTGGCTGATGGTAGATTTGAGTCCCACAGAGGCCCAGAGGATACCACCAGCACAGGGCCATTAAAAAAAAAAAAAAAAAAAAAAAGAACCACTTCACATGCATGAAGTCCATTGATCCATTGATAGAATATACTACCCCTTCCTCTTCTCTAGGGCAGAAGCCAGCGTGCTTATAAAGCATGTGCACAACTTTGTATCTCCAGAAAAGAGCTCTGGTACTTCCTCGTCAGCTTTCCTGTGGTGGGCCTGCTGTTTCAGCCTCTTGTTTCAAGGAGGGTGGAGAGCGGAGCCAGGGCAAAGGAGGCAGCCTTCCTGCCAGGAAAGATGCTAGCTACTTCTGTACATTCCATGAAAGACGATGGAAGCACAGGCTTTACAGAGGTGTCCTCTTGGGTCCCACATGAGACAGAGGCTGGGGACTGTGCAGACTAAACCCAGACTGATTAAGTTTGAGAGAGGGGCTCACATAGAAGGCTGAGGAAGCCTTGGCCCTAAGGGTTCTCAACCCTAGCTGTGTATCAGACTTAGTTGGAGAACATTTTAAATTAAATATCAATACTTTGGCCCCAGCTTTTAAGAGATTCCAATATAATTGTGTTGGGGAAAAGACTCTTCCAGCAATTCTAATGCAGGGATGAGAACCACTGCAGAGAGTTTAAAAATACTGGTGTATTTTTTTTGTGGAGGTATAATTGACATATAACACAATGTTTTAATTTCAGGTGTACATGGTTCAATATATGTATGTATTGCAAAATGATCACAATGTCTAGTTAACATCATACAGTCACTAATTTTTTTCTCTTGTGAGGTAAACTTTTAAGATCTGCCCTTGTAGCAACTTACAATATGCAATACAATATGGACTCTAGTCATCATGCTGTACATTACATCCCTATGACTTATTTGTGACTGGAAGTCTGGATTTTTAACCCCCTTCACCCATTTTTCCCACCCCCCTACCCCCACCTCTGGCAACCGCCAGTCTGTTCTCTATATATGCAAGTTTGGTTTTGTCGCTGTTGTTTAATTCCACATACGAGTGAGAGGAGATGGTATTCGTCTTTCTCTGATAGACTTCATTTAGCACAATGCTCTCAAGGTGTATCCGTGTTATCGCAAAAGGCAATATTTCATTCTTTTTATGGCTGAATAGTATTCCTTGTGTGGAATCACATTTTCTTTATCCATTCATCTACCACAGACACTTAGGTTTTCTCCCTATCTTGTCTATTATAAATAATGCTGCAGTGAACATGGGGGCGCATGTTACTTTTTGAATTAGTGTGTTTTCTTCAAATACTCTAAAGTGGAATTGCTGGATCATACAATGGTTCTATTTTTGATTTTTTGAGGGGCCTCCATACTGTTTCCCATAGTGACTACATCAAGTACATTCCCACCAATAGTGCACAAGGGTGCACTTTCCACATCCTTGCCAACACTTGTTATTTCTAGCCTTTTTGATAATAGCCATTCTAAACAGAGAAGGGATATCCCTGTGGTTTTGATTTGCATTTCCCCGATGATTAGTGATATTCAGTATCTCTTCATGTATCTGTTGGGCATCTGTAGGTCTCCTTTGGAAAATCTATTCAGATCCTCTGCCCATTTTTTAATCAGATTTTTATTTTGTTTTTCTTTTGAGTTCTAGGAGTTCTTTATATATTTTGGGTATTAACTGCTTATCAGATATATGATCTGTTGAGTGGTATTTTTAAAACAAAATTTTGTCAGGTCCCTATGGGTTTGTTGTAGTTATAGGCAATTAGTATTTATCAGGTCTCCTCTCTTTTGGAAATGAAGTCTCCATTGTCTGTCAATTATGCGAAAATGACTTCTGACCAGGCAAGCAGAAGGAAGCCACTTTTATGTCTCAACTAATTGCTCTCAACCATTTCCCTAATGCCCTTGTTTTGGAGTGGTTCAAAAGCAATATTAAAGGTCAACAACCTTTTGAGATGACTATTCCCTCCAGTTATCTAGTAGTCAACAGTGGGCACATTTCACATCTGGAACATGAAAAAGCAATCAAATTCTTTGCACCTGTAATCACTTTTCTTGTCTTTTGTGACATTTTATCCTTGCTTATGAAAGTAGTATCTTCCCTCTTACAATTACAAAAGACTTTAGAGAAATACGTTGGTTTTCCCACCTCTTACTGTTAATTGGTAATTACTTATTCTGTAGTTAAAATAATGTATATATGTTTTCCAGGTGACCAAGATATCAACGTGGTTTCTGGATATATCTTAAAAATGAAAGTAATTTATCCAGCAGTTGAAGGTCGGATCAAGTTTTCTGCAGGAAGTCATTGTCGTGGAAGCTTTTCTCTAACATTTCTTTCCTTTTTGGCAGTGAGCATTGTTTTATACCAGTAGCCATAAATTCCTCTTGCCATTAATGTGTGGAACTGCATTTTTTTTTTTCAAGTGAGATTCAAGTCTGCATTTTAGGTACTGGCTTGGTGATGGCACAGACCATCTTTGCTGGCCCCCAGAAGCTGAGGCTGGAGGCCTGTAAATGAAGACACTGACATCATTACTCAGGATCAGCAAGTCACTGAACACACAGGAAAAAATGAAAATGAGCCCTTTGAGGGGAAAGCCAACCATCTTTAGTTTACATATGCAAATTTTAATAAAACTTATATTAACAATTTTAAACCACAAAAATCATTTTTTTAATATCCATTTTAATCCACCAAACAATTTATGTTTACATAGAACTCTATCCTTTACAAGGCAGTTTTTATCTTATTTGATGCCTATAACTTTTTCTGGTGGGCAAGGCAGGCGATGTTTTTCCCATTTGGCAGACAGGGAAACTGAAACTCAGAAAGAGCTGACTTGTTCAAAGCCATACAGCTGAAAGTGACAAATCTAAGACCTGCACCCAGGTCTTCTGACCTCAAGTCCAGACTCTTTCAACTACATCCAGTTGCTGTTCAGAAAGATACTTAATGGTCTCATCTGCTCATAACTGTCAATGGCATCAAGCTCCTGGATGACAAGTCTCTGCTTTATTTCATATCTCTAACTTTTCCCTTTTTAGATCTTGTTGTTACATTGAGTTTCATGGACTTAAACACAGGCAGCATTCTCTCCTGTACCACCCATGTGCCTTTAACAAGTCAGGGAACAAACAGTGCAGCAGCAGATGATGGGAAAGGCCAGAGCCTGCAAAAAATAGTCCAGGGGCAGGGAGAAAGGAAAAGGAAGAACAGGACACCCGGGACATATTTACATTATGGAAGAAAAGGAGCTAAAGGGCATTTAGATTTGTTAAAGAGATATTTGCTAAGGAGTAGCAGAAGAGTGCCTGATACATAGTATTACCTGTGAATAATTTTATGAGATTCCATCAGTTCTGCCTCTGTGCTCTTTCCACCCTTCTTTCTAATGGGAGGGTATGAGAACCTTTTAAGGTGTGATTCTAAACTTGTACCTGTTCTCCCCAGCAAGATGCCAGCACTTACCCTAGTCTCTGTCTCTCTCTCTCTCTGTCCCTTCTCATCCCCCACCCCAGTTATGGAAAACTCAGAGGGGAGACAAGGATTGATTTTTAAGTGTTATACGTAATAAGTTTGAAGTCAGATCTGCCTGCAAATCTGGACACTCTTAAGTCATGCTCAAGTATGAATATGAGAACTCCTGCCTGGGAGTGAGCCCCTGAGTGGGTGTTCAGGAAAACACCCAAACTGATGAAATGATTTATAACCAAAAGAACAAATACTTGCTTAAGGTGGTCGTGAGACCATGTGAGCCTGCTCAGCATTGCATAAACTTCAGTGAGAAATGGGAGCCTTCACCTTAAAAAATGGTGAGCAGGGGCACCTGGGTGGCTTAGTCAGTTAAGCATCCAGCTTCGGTCCAGGTTATGGTTCATGGGTTGGAGCCCCGTGTCGTGCTCCCTGCTGTCAGCACAGAGCCTTCTTTAGATCCTCTCTCTTCTCTCTCTGTCCCTTCCCCTGTATATGCTTTCTCTCTCTCTCTCAAAAATAATAAATGAAAAAAAAAAAATGGTGAGCAAACAGCAGCTAGAGGTTTGGAGAGGGAGTGTTTGTTAATGTTTACAAATATTAAGTACTCCTGATACAAAATATACTTTAAAAATTTTATAACATCTTTAAAAAGGCTGCTGCAGTAAAATAATGCCCTCAGTTCTATGCATATACAGATTAGCTATAAGCAAATGTCAATAGGATTGGAAGAGGAAAATTAGAGAAAGGTGCATTTGGAGTATATTTTTATGCTTGGCCAGTAAAATACAATGAATCCTATTAGAGCACAAATTTTTAAAGAACATTTTTGTAAGTTTTCTAAATATATGTGCATATATTGTGCAGTGGTTTAAGAAATGACCTCAAACACTTTACAGCTGTAGATTCAATTGTGCAATAAAACTGAAGATATGCTCCTTGTCTTTGGTAGTTATTTCTTCTCTCAAGCAAACATTATAACCTGGGACAATACAACTGAAGGAAAACTTTTGATGGTTTATCACTGGTATCATTTCTCTTGATCATAAGTCCCTTGCCATTTGATAACCTTCCCTAGCCCCCTTTTCAGCCAAAACAACAAGAAGAAAAATGCATGCAATTTTTAGATAAAACAGTAAATAAAGGATATTTTAAATAATACTCTTATATTTTCTGGCTTTCATATACAGAATCTAATGTAGAAATTGTTTTGAGGCTTGTAGTTGTTTACTAAAAATAAAAATGCCCAAGTTGGACAATGTTGGGGATTTAACTAATTTGTCTGAACTGCCTGTGCATCTAAGAATCTTCTTCAGGCATATTGATAAATAAACCAATTGTTCTGTCTTGATCAAATGGATCCGTTAAATCCATTTGGTGCCAGAACTGCCTTCAGCAGTTTCTAACAAAGAATAAGCAGGGTTTCTTAGAAGAAAGTTGAGACTGCCAACAGTTGCCCATTAGGAAAAGTTGCTCCCTTGAGGAGTCTGGATATCTATCCCTTGAGGATAGATCCATGGCTACACTTCCCAAAATTAGGAAAGTTTCCTGATTAGTTATCTGGGCCTGCTGTAATAAATTGACATAAACTGGATGGCTTAAACAACAAAAATTTATAGTCTCACCCTTCTGGAGGTCAGAAGCCTGAGATCAAGTTGGCAAGGTTGTTTCCTTCTGAAGACTGTCGTGAAGAATCTACTCCAAGCCTCTCCTAGCTTCTGGTAGCATCAGGCATTCCTTGCCTTATAGCTGGTATTTTCCCTCTGTTTTTACATCCTTTTCCCTCTGTATGTCTGTCTCTATGTCCAAATTTCCCCTATTTATAAGAACAAAGTCATACTGTATTAGGCCCACTGTAATGACTTAGTCACCTAAAAAAAACACTATTTCCAAATAAGGTCACATTCACAGGAAATGGGGATAAGGGCCCAAGCCCCACCATCTTTTCAGGGGACACAGGGGAGTCATCCTTGGTGGCTCCCGTTTTCTCAAACTCACATTATGTCCCTGGGTAAATCTTGCTTCCCAACACACACACACACACACACACACACAGGCACACAACACCCTTCACAAGTACTACCTTGCTTCAAATCACTGCCACTTCTGAATTGCTTCAGCAGCCTCCTAAATGAGTTGGTCTCCACTTCTGCTCCACTCTAGTCAGTTCCCAACATTCTCAATTCAGCAGCCAAGGTGATGTCTTACAGTATTAAGCAAGACTGTGTTGCTCAATGGCTCAAAATCTTTTTACCACACTCCCAGTAAAAGCAACAATAAATTATCCCAATGGCCTACAAGGCCCTCTGTGATCTGGTTTCCCATTACTTCTCTGACATTATTTCTCTTCACTCTCCCTGATGTGGCCACACTGATCTCCGTGCTATTCTTCCTACAAAACACTCTCCCACTCAAACCTTTGCATGTGCTATTTTCTCTACTTGGAACATGGACTCCTACATACCTGCATTACCTGATTTCTCACTTCCTTCAAGTCTTTTCCAAGGTCCCAGACCCCGCCATTTAAAACTGCAACCCTCCCCCATATTCCCCTCCTTAGTTCAAAATGTTTCTTCTGAGCACTTATTTTCTAAGATACTATAATTTCCTTATTTATCTTATTGTCTGTCTCTTGGAGTTTGAATGTAGGTTTCTAAATGCACAAATAATATCCCTAGCTTATCTAAAACTGCCTGGCACATGGGTGAGTGTGCACTACACACGAATAAACTGAATGAACTGTGTATAATTCCTTCCCTTGTACCTTTCTGCCACCCTCCTCCTCACTCAGTCCAAAAGCCACACACACAGTCCTTTTCTCTGGCCTCACCCCTCCAGAGAATACAGATAATTAAGTTTTCTCTACCTACAGAAGACACCCTTTTCATTACGCAGAGTGTTTGACTCTTCTTTAACCTCTCTGCAACCAAAAGGCCAATTAAGTTACCCCTAAGGACAGCTGCCTTTCTCCAAAAATTTAATTCCCTTGTTCCTTAATATGAAGGTAATTATAACTTTTCTAACAGTATTCCTTTTTCTCCCTTGTTTTGTTCTTCAACATCAGGGATTAGCAAACTGCAGCCTGAGAGCCAAATCCTGCCTGCCACGGCTTTATGTAAATAGGGTGTCATTGGAATACAAATACATCCACTACATAGAGTGTTTGATAGGAAAAAAAAAATCATAAATATCAAATTAACAAAAGTGAAATAAAAAAAAAAAAAAAAAACTAGTTTTCACTGGAGCTCATGGGCCTCAGGTTAAAGATTTCTTCTCGGGGCGCCTGGGTGGCGCAGTCGGTTAAGCGTCCGACTTCAGCCAGGTCACGATCTCGCGCTCCGTGAGTTCGAGCCCCGCGTCGGGCTCTGGGCTGATGGCTCAGAGCCTGGAGCCTGTTTCCGATTCTGTGTCTCCCTCTCTCTCTGCCCCTCCCCCGTTCATGCTCTGTCTCTCTCTGTCCCCAAAATAAATAAACGTTGAAAAAAAAAAAAATTTAAAAAAAGATTTCTTCTCTGTGTATAGAGCACTGCCAAAGAGATAACTGGGTACGTTACAGACAGCATACTCCTTGACACAGAAGTATAATGAACTGGCAAGAACTATTCATTTGCTCATTCATTCAATCATTTTTATTCCAATGTTGACTATATCTGAAATTACAATTTGTGTATATATCATTACACACTCTGCTAAAAACAGAAGCAAATTAGATTTCTATTTATATTTCTACAATAGAATCAAATGGTTTTTACTAAGTCAAAAATGATCATTTAAGTGGTTGCTTTCAATCATTTCTCAGGATCTTCTGATATCTATAACTAATTATACTTAAAACACAATTTTAATGTCCTTTAAATATCTGAAAATGTCTTCCCATCTATTTAATTTCATTTTATCCCCTCAACCAGAAACACTGATAGTTGTTTCTATTAAACACATTTCAAAATGTGAAGCTCATGCACAAGAGAACACACATAAAGATAGGAAGGAATGTACAAAGTAAAATATATGAAATGACTGGGGAACATACTTTTTAAAAGGATCCAAAGAGTGACTACTTTTGGAAATAAAAGCTCTTTCTATGGGGCAACACTAACAAGGACAAGATGAGAGACAAATCGAAGTTTGAATTCTAACTTCACTACTCTCTCTGGCTTCAATATCCTTACCTATAATATAGGAATAATACCATCTCACAGTTACTATGATGGATGATAAAACGTGATAGTGAATATAAAATGCCTTGCCAACAGAGATTGCATCTGGTTCCTTTTCCTTTGATAATATGAATAATTAATTTTGTATGTGTAGATTTTTATACACATTTTCTTTAAATAGAGCTCAGCCACTGCTATGGATGGAACTGTGCCTTCCTAAAATTCGTATGTTGAAGCCCAAAACCACCTTGTGACTGTCTTTGGAGATGGGGCTTTTAGGAAGTAATTAAGGTTAAATGAGGTCATAAGAGTGGGACCCTAACCAACTGGACTGATGCCCTTATAAGGATAGAGAGAGAGAGAGAGAGAGAGAGAAAGCAAGCTCTTTCCTTCTCTCCTCCCACAAAGGTACACAGAGAGGTCAGGAGCACATGTGAGAAGGCAGCTATCTGCAAGCCAAAGGAAGAGGCCTCACAATGAAACCTACCTTGGATTCTAGCCTCCAGAACTATGAGAAATAAATTTGTTGTTAGAGCCACACAGTCTGTGGTATTTTGTTATAGAAGCCCAAGCAGAATGATACACTCCTAAGAACATTTTTCTCACCTAAATAAAGAGAATATGACGATTTATAGGACAGTAGGTGAGAATGAGATAACAAGGGCTGTGAAATATTTTTTCCAGCTCACCATGACATTTTAAATAGTGCTTAAAATGCTATGGATTCAAATGTGAAGAGTTAACCTGATTAACTTTCCATCTGTCCCTGAGAAATCAGTAAATGTTTAAGGCTTTGTATTAAAGTACCAACTCACAGAAACTCATATATATACTAGAATCTTGAAACAATTAAAAATATAATAAAACTGGGGTGCCTGGGTGGCTCACTGGGTTAAGCGTCCAACTCTTGATTTCAGCTCAGGTCACGATCTCACAAACTGTGAAATCAAGCCCCAGGTCAGGCTCTGTGCTGACAGCAAGGAGCCTGCTTGGGATTCTCTCTCTGCCTCTCCCCCATTCACATGCATGAACATGCTCTCTCTCTCAAAATAAATAAACATTTTTTAAAAAATTTACAACACCAGGACACTTGAGTGGCTCAGTTGGTTAAGCGTCCAACTTCAGTTCAGGTCATGACCTCGTGGCTCCATAAGTTTGGGCCCCACATCAGACTCTATTGTCAGTGTGGAACCTGCTGCGGATCCTCTGTCTCCCTCTCTCAGCCCTTCCCTCACTCATGCATGTACTCTCTCTCAAAAATAAACATTAAAAAAATTCCAACACCTAATAACCACTTTTTTTGGAAAAAAAAATAAGTAAACAGTATTAAACAGGTTAGATTTCCAAATTATATTTAGAGTTCCCTATTACCCAGCTTAGTATCTAATACATAGTTGAAACTCAATAAATACAGCCTGAATGAATGCTACGACCAATTAGCAAACACAAAATGCTCGATCTTGAAAGACAAACTTGTTTTAAGGAGAAAAGTATAGCATGGGAGGGAACTATAAGTAGAATTCCGAACACTGACTCTAATCTTTTAATTTAACTTTCCTCAAGGGGAGCCTGGGTGGTTCAGTTGGTTAAGCATCTGACTTTGGCTCAGGTCATAATCTCACATTTCATGGGCTTGAGCCCCGTGTCTGACTCTGTGCTGTCAAACCAGAGCCTGGAGCCTGCTCTTGATTCACTATCTCCCTCTCCTTCTGCCCCTCCCCCTCTTTTGCTCAGTCTCCCTCTCAAAAATAAACAAACATTAAGAAAAATTTTTTAATTAGGGCGCCTGGGTGGCTTGGTTGGTTCAGTGCGGACTTCAGCTCAGGTCATGATCTCACATTTCGTGAATTCAAGCCCCACATCGGGCTCTGTGCTGACAGCTCAGAGCCTGGAGCCTGCTTCAGATTCTCTATCTCCATCTCTCTGCCTGTCCCCCACTCGTCACTCACTCTCTCTCAAAATTAAATAAACATTTTAAAAATTAAAAACAAATTAACTTCCCTCAAGAAATACAATTAATTCTGTATTTTCCTTTTGGAGAGATAACAGACAATATAATCCAAAAATCTACTTGACTAAATTGTTATATAAGATTTTGGAATATAGCTACATTCATTCAGTAAAATATAGCTGCAACCACACCATCAGAAATATCTGTTTGTAGTCAGTTTTCACACTTAAAAAGGGCAATAACCTGTCAATCCAGCAAGAGTAAGGAAAAGTGCTTTGTTTCTTAAGAAAAACTCATAAAGGATGTCTTCTTTATTTTTATTATTTTTTTTTTTTAATTTTTTTTTTCAACGTTTATTTATTTTTGGGACAGAGAGAGACAGAGCATGAATGGGGGAGGGGCAGAGAGAGAGGGAGACACAGAATCAGAAACAGGCTCCAGGCTCTGAGCCATCAGCCCAGAGCCTGACGCGGGGCTCGAACTCACGGACCGCGAGATCGTGACCTGGCTGAAGTCGGACGCTTAACCGACTGCGCCACCCAGGCGCCCCAAGGATGTCTTCTTTATAAACACATAGCTACCTGTGTAGAAAATAGGGGCAAAAAAAAAGATACATCTACTAAAATGTATTAACTCTAAATAAGAAAGCAAATCAGATCTTACTACAATTTCTCCACACTAAACATAATTATTTTCAAAGTGATACAATACAAAGATTATTGGTCCTATCTGTTTGCCCTACCTCTTTAAAAAATGGCAATAGTAGGGGTACCTGGGTGGCTCAGTCAGTTAAGCATCCGACTCTTGATTTTGGCTCTGATTGTGATCTCACAGTTCTTAAGGTCAGTCTCCACATTGTCAGCTTGGGATTCTCTCCCCCCCCCACCCCGTCCCGCTGGCACTCACATGCTCTCTCTCTCTCAAAATAAATAAATAAAACATTTTAAAAAATGGCAACAGCAAATGACATATATTCTAATAAAATTTTGGTAACAGGTGTAAAATGAAAGACTATGAAACCCAATCACTTTTAATCATTATTAAGTTTGTGTTAGTCTTTATTAAAACAAAAAAAAAATCAAAAATTCAGACACTGGATTACATGATATATACAAGAATATACAAAAGTAAAAGAAAAAAGTACATATATACTACATTAATTAGCAAAGCAGAAATTTGTTATCTATCTGGTCATTGTATCTCAAATCCAAATGTTTACATCCAGGACGTCACAGAGGTAACTTCTTTTTGTACCTAAAGTAAAAATAAATCTATTCAATAGAAGACAATAAAACAGCGTTCATTTGTGAAGTGCCTAATAACAATTTCAGTGTATTAAAATTCTAACCTAAGACATTAGGAGAGAGAGAGAGACATTTTGCCATGCTCTAATTCCAATTCATTTTGTACTCTTGGGTTCATATAAGTTCAACCACCTCAAAAACACTCAAGACTGACTTACACAGCATTCAGTGTCACAGACAGATAACAGCCTGAAGAGTTTGGCCCATTCTAGTGCTAGCATTTAAATTCATACCTTTCTCTGGAAAGACTACAGGGTATATAACATTCCTATCTGCTTGTAATTAGGAAGCAGGGAAGTCAAAACACAGGCTATTCCTTTCCTGTCCACCCAAAACTGACTCTATGTTTAAGCATGTTGAAAAAAGAAAATATAAAGAGTCATTTGTTAAGGTTGTTCATTTTTAAAAGGATCATAGTAACAAGGGTTTCCTTAATTTTTGTGTCCCTTATTAAAATAAATGTCAGCATACCATCAAAAACAAAGAATAAAACTGCTGCTTTTCAGTTACCTTATTGAGCTCTGGAAATAGTTCTTGTATCACAATGTCCAATAAAACATAAGTCAGCTAAAGCACCAAAAAAAAATTTTTTAAGGCATTAGACAAAAAAACCATAAAAATGATAAACACAAAATTCAGGACTGTGGTTATGTCTAAATGAGAAAGCAGGGAGAACTCAAATATACATGTGGACATTTTATTATTATGCTGCATAATTCATTTTATCTTAACTATTTTATACATAACAAAATTTTGAAGAAGGAAGCAGGATACAAAATTTTAACTTATTAGGATCTCAACAAAATATGTACATACTGCACTATATATGTAGTGTTAACTGTGGTTATTCTAATGTAATCTGAATGATAGAATTCTTAATTTTTTAAATTTTACTTTATTTCATGAATTTTGTATAAATTCCAAATTTTCTACAATGAATCTATGTTTATTTTAAGTCAAAACTACTTATGTTATAAAGAAAAAAAAGTAAACTAGAGAACAAACTGATGGTTACCACAAGGCAAGGGGAAATGGGTGCTATAGGGGAAGGGGACTAAGAAAGAGTACACTTATCCTGATGAGGACTGATTAATATATAGACTGGTTAAATCACATTATATACTTGAAACTAATATGACACTATATGTTAATTATACTGGAATTAAAATAGAAAACTTAATTAAAAAAATTAAAAAGTAGTCAGCAAAAAAGAGTAACAAAGATGAAACATTTTTTTTCTGTCCGAATGTTTGAAGTGCACCACCTTGAGAGTGTCACTTCACAATAACATACCAGAATCCTACTGTGTGTCGTTCACAAAACCTAGCCAACACTAGTCAACCTCCTTTAATGATTTTTACCTGTTTATTGAGAACTGGCTGTTGTAAGCCATCAAATAGAAGTCTGATGCTTTCATACTTGGCTTCTTCACCAATACACTTGACTATCAGATCTAAACAAGAAAGCCAAATGTGAAACATTTCATATTACAAAGTGACTCATCATTTAGTGGACCATAAAGCAAAATCTTCACTCTGTTTCCCAGATATTACACAAAAACTGTAAATCAGCATTTCCTAAACCAGTGTTCTTGCAAGAGCCTCCTGGAAAAAACACTTCTATGGTCAAGAAACTCAGAACCGTATATCCTCCTTCTGGAGATTCACAATGCACCAAGTATACTGCAAGTGCTGAGGAGTGTTGCAGTAAAAAAATTTATACTATTGGGGCGCCTGGGTGGCGCAGTCGGTTAAGCATCCAACTTCAGCCAGGTCACGATCTTGCAGTCCGTGAGTTCGAGCCCCGCGTCGGGCTCTGGGCTGATGGCTCAGAGCCTGGAGCCTGTTTCCGATTCTGTGTCTCCCTCTCTTCTCTGCCCCTCCCCTGTTCATGCTCTCTCTCTCTCTGTCCCAAAAATAAACAAACGTTAAAAAAAAAAAAAAAATTTATACTATTTATACTGTTATACTATTTACACTATTAAGTGATAAAAGACAGTTGTAAAGTAATACACACTGTGTTATTCCATTCAGATAAAACAAATAAAAATCCCAAAATTATGCATATGCATTTGTATACACATGTATAGAAATGCACAGAAAAATATTTGCGATGATTAACACCAAGCTGAGTACATGGATACTTATGCACATTGGGGAGATGGCTTCTACTTTTTACTATATATTTTTTCATAATGTTTGAATATCTTAGTATCAGGAAAAAAAGTTAACTGTTTAATATAGACTTTCCTCAATGAATATGACCACTTTATTTTGTACTTTTTGCATAATTATTATTAACCATCTTACAGAATAATCTTTTTGGGAAATGTTTAAATACTAATTTAGGATCTAAAAAGTTCTGATTCATGTTTGACCCCACAGATGTCATGTATCACTTCTATTACCAAAGAGTCAGTCCTTACTAAAAACCTCAACTAAACCTTTTTCCCAAGGCAAAAAGTAAAATTATCAAGTAAACCAAATGCCCAAATATGTGTCCTTTCCCCCCCAAACATAATAAAACTCTTAATGATGTTCTTGAAAAAGTTCTCACCTTATGTTTGCTTCTAGGAGATAAATCTAACCCTAAGTGGCAAAGGCCAAATTCAATTTATAACAAGCATAGTAGATCCTTGATCTTTTCAAGATTATGTGGCCCAATATGGATCTTTATGAATCTGCTAATTCACCAATACTATACAGAACTTCCCAATTAATATGTGTGAACCATAATGGACAAAAATAAGTGATCCTTTCAGATCCTTCAGAAATCCTAAGTAAGATTGAGGGGTAGAGGACAACAGAAAGACATGCTAAGTTTACTAAATTATTCCTTCCCAAAAGGAGTCTTGAAGTAGAGGTGATTCAAATTCATGTCTCAGCAAAATAACAAATTATTACATTCAGTGGCTTTCCATGTTGTCCCTGAATATCAAACTAAGACTGTTAAAGCCATGAATGCTAAGGGTCACTATTACAAAACAGGTAAGAAATTATTTCATCATTTACCTACAGAAGACTTACCCCAGAATAGCTTTTATTCACTTTTATATTCAGCCCAGGGATTTAACTTAACTGTCTTCACACAGAGCAACAGGACTATTCTGAGACTAATTTTTCAATGATGAGAATTCTCTAAGGTACAGTCCAAAGGTACAGTCCAAAGGCTTCTTTGGTTCTTACTCTGTATTTTCTCTCTGAGCATTATTATCCACTACACATAACTTCTATGTCTCTATCCTGTACTGTTCATTAATCCAATTTCAAAACCTGGGTATCTCACTACTTACTAGACATGTCTTCCTGAATACTGTATAGGAACTTCACACTCAAAATATTCTAAACTAAGTATCCTCTGCTTTGACTCCTTGCATCTTTTCCTTGTATTTCCCATCTCTGTAACAGGTTACTACTATTTATTTACCTTGTGGTCCAAGCTTACCTCCTTTACAGGAGAAATGATCATTCTCCTCCTCTGAGACACACTCTGTGACTTGGAACATGCCTTCTCTCTTATCATATGTATGTTTTATCTGTATGTCTGTCTGTCCACTAGACTGAACTACTCAAGTACACTTTTTATATCCCTTGCATTCTGCATAGTGCCTGACATGTGGAAAGAGCTCAATAAATTTGAAATGAACGAATGAATTCTGACCTTTTACTCATAAACACGAGTGAAGCTCTTCTCATTGTAGAGTGGGCAGCAGGATTCCAACTGTCCCACAAACAGATCACTTTGATCAGTCTGATTATAAGTTGTTGCTAAAAAAATCTGGCTGTTGCATAGGTAGAAAAAGCCTGTCTTAAATTTCATTGTGCTTATATTATAAAAACCAAATTTTATTTAACTAATGACTTAATTTTACTTTGTCCTTAGTAACTATTACTAAAATGAAAACTCAAACTAAAAATTGGCCTCAATAATTACTATACATCGTGATCTCAAAGGGGTGCTAATCTGTATTTACTACTTAGATATTACACCTGGAATGTAATTCATCATTTCTTCAAAAGTCTGTTTTGCTCGTTTTTGCTTATCTTGGAGAGAACGAGGTTCAGTGTTTTCACAGAATACAGCATCTAAAATGAAACAAAAAGAAATATTTTCACCTATTATACACGAAGTACTTCTTCATAGCAGAAATACCAATAAACCAATGAAAAACAAGACACAACAGTACACAAGACCTGAAACAAACACATGAGAAAATACCTCTGAGAAGTGTTATAAGTGAGACCAAACGGTGCTCCTGAAATAGTTGTTCTAGTTTACAATGAAGATAGTAGTCAGTATACATTTCCAAGGTATTTTTAAACAGGATTCGAGTTCCCATTAAGAGATGATGAAGCCAGTCAGGAACTTGGAAAACCACCCGTCCTGAGAGGGATCATATAGAATATTTTGTTAAGATAAACAGGTATTTCAAACATTCTCCAATGTGAAAACACAAAAATGGTAATATTTTATTTGTAAACACTAGTAACTTTAATATGTTCAGGACCATTTGTACCAAATTCTAATAAAAGAAATATCTTTAATTTAAAAAGAAGTTACAATGGGGCAATAGTGAAGAGCATTAATTTGTATCACAGAAGATACAGGACACATGAATGAAAAATAGGTTTTAATATAACCAGACAGACCTTACCTACATACATCAGGTAATCATAGACTCCTTCTACAGTCATCATCTCCATAAAATAATTCTGATTTTGCTTTCTTTCTGTATTCTCAGCACGGTTTGCATTATTCTTAAATAGATCACTGAAAAGCTGAAGTAAAAATTGAAATAGTAAAGAGATGCATAGTTTATTACACCTGCTAATAAACAAACACTAAGGCTAAAGTGACAACAGAACACAGGCATTTAAACCTTTTTTAATCAAAACGAGCATTAGATAGGTTAAGCTCTGTCTCCAAAATTCCACATTTATATCCAAAATTGAATTAAAAAATACATTCTCCCCAAAGTAGTACACAAAAGTCTCCATTCATTTAAGACAAAACAGATAATTACCCATAGGAAGAACCCCTTTGCTTTTTTATACCAAAATGAGCAAATAAACATATAAAGATGTATAAATATATTAATGACAGCTAATTTTAAAACTAACATGACTTAAAGATTATAATTCACTAGTTAATTAATTAAAGGGTGTTTAGAGGTGAACATTGAGCTCTAACCAAAGTTTGACAGTAACAGTCATAGTCTGAAAATGTGAAAAAAAAAAGATGCAAAAAACTTCTTATAGTAAAAATGATGAAATGCAACGAAATCTCAGCCCTACTTACTCCCAACTATGCAAAAAAAGTCTATTCTTGATAATAATAATAATAATGAAACAGCAGAAATAAAGGAACTAAAAGTATGCTAGAAAAGATCAACAAAGCCAAGAGATCAAAAGGACAAAATCTTTGGCAAGATTGATCAAAAAAATAAAAAAAGAAAATGACACAAATAATATAAAAAATAAAAGGGGATATAACTACAGATGTTAGAAAAAATTAAAAGGACATTATTGACAACTTCAGGACAAAAAATTTTCAAATTTAGATTGAATAAAAAATGCGTTGAAAAATATAACCTATCGGGGCACCTGGGTGGCTCAGTCAGTTAAGCGGCCGGCTTCGGCTCAGGTCATGATTTCACGGTCCGTGAGTTCGAGCCCCGCGTCGGGCTCTGTGCTGACAGCTCAGAGGCTGGAGCCGGTTTCAGATTCTGTGTCTCCCTCTCTCTCTGCCCCTCCCCTGTTCATGCTCTGTCTCTATCTCAAAAATAAATAAACGTTAAAAAAAAATTTTTTTTAAAGAAAAATATAACCTATCAAAACGGACTCACAAAACAAATCTGAAGAATACTATAATCACTAAAGAAATTGTTTGTTTTAATGTTTATTTATTTTTGAGAGAGAATGAGCAGGGAAGGTGCAGGGCGAGAGGGGACAGAGAATCTGAAGTAGGTTCTGCTCTGACTCCGAGCTGACAGTAGAGAGCTCAATTCAGGACTCGAACTCACGAACCACGAGATCATGACCTGAGCCAAAGTTAGACACTCGACTCAGCCACCTAAGCGTCCCGAAATTGGTTTTTAAAGAAAACCTTCCTATAAACAAAACTTGAGGCTTAGAGGACTTTAACAACCAATCATATAAATTATTCAAAGAACTAATAATTCCAATTATAATTTTACCAGCAAACAGAAAAAGGTTAATATAACTTTAATACCAAAACCTGACAAGGATTGGGGCAATTGGGTGGCTCAGTCAGTTAAGTGTCCGACTCTTGATTTCGGCCCAGGTCATAATCTCATGGTTTGTGAGTTCAAGTCCTGCATCTGGCTCTGTACTGAACATGGAACCTGCTTGAGATCCTCTCTCCCTCCCTCTCTGTCTGCTGCTCCCCTGCTTGTGCTCTTTCTCTCAAGATAAATAAATAAGTTTTTTTAAAAAATTGGCAAGGATAGAATGAGAAAGAAAAATTACAGTAAAAACCTTGGTTTGCAAGCATAATTCATTCCAGTAGAGACCAACTCCACCCATAAAGATGGTGCAAACTTCTTTAACCTTATAAAGAATATCTATGAAAAAAGCTACACTATACACTATTTAATGGTGAAATACTGAAATGATTCTCTTTGTACAACAGGTCCTAGCCATGAATGAAACAAAACCACCATTTGCAGATAATGTGTATTAAAGAATTAATAGATATATTACTAAAATTAGTACAAGTCTAGCAAAGTTACTGAATTTAAAAAAATCAACACATAAAAATTAACTGTATTTATCAAATGAAAGTGATAAAGTGAAAAAAATATTAAAGACACCTTTTATAGTAATAACAAAAAAGTGAGTTTTGGGGTTAAAGGGGGAAGGCTGTCCTTTGAGCTCACATAGCTCCTCATGCTGAGCACTATTCTGGCACTAAACTGAGCTTCCTGTGGACAGGAAATATATCTTTATATTCCAGTGTTGGCACAGGTTAAAATACTTGCTTAATGGATTAAATATTATATAAGCCATTAAGATTAGATAAAATAAGCATCAAATCAACATGACTACATTGTATCAATTTACTTCATGAGTATTAGAAGTTGGTGATTTACAACCTAAGAAAACCACCTTAAAAAATCCCCCAAGGGGCGCCTGGGTGGCTCTGTTGGTTAAGCATTGGACTTCAGCTCAGGTCATGATCTCATGCTTCATACGTTTAAGCCCCATATCAGGCTTTGCACTGACGTGTGGAGCCTGCGTGGGATCCTCTCTCTCCCTCCCTCTCTGTCCCTTCCTCACTCTCTTTCTCCCTTTCTCAAAATAAAGAATAAACTTAAAATAAAAAATCCCCCAAAGACGTAAATGTTAGAAATTTGCAAATGCAATTATATAAAGAAAAATTTACCTGTTAAAAGCAAAGATGCAAGCAACTACATAAAATACCCTCCTTACACTGTACAACTGATTTCCATATAAAGGAAATAAGTCCCATTCATTTCATTAACACATGATTCTCCCTACAATGGAAAAGCTGTTCCAAGTAGGGTAACTTCAAACCTTATGACTCTGTCAAACAATAAATATGCAGTACCTTCTTGTTGTTTTCTGAAGTAGGGCTGAGAATGGTCAGTTCCGGTTTACTTGGTTTAGGCTTTGGAGATTCACAAGAATTAATGAAATTCATGATGAAAGGTTCCAAATGCTGGCCTTTCTGTTGTGACATAGAAATCATGGTATGAAAATAAAAAATCAAGATTATGATTTTTAATAATCATATAATGCATTAAAATTCACTGATATTTAAATACGGTTATAACTATCATGTTACAGAATATACATAAATCAGTTATTCACCTCTTTCATTAGTTTTCCAGGAACAGACTTTATAATTTTACCTGCAATTAAAAGTAAAATATTAATTTTATGAAAGCATAATATACTGCAAAATTGCTCACATGAATACTTCACTAGGTAATTTTTTTTTCACTAGGTAATTTTAAATACTCAAAAGCCAAGTAAAAAAAGTAAAACAATAAAAAATATAACTTACTATTTCACACTCAACAGAAATTTACAATAAATATGGTATTCTTTTTTTTTAATGTTTATTTTGAGAGAGAGAGCACACACACACACACACACACACACACACACACACGCGTGAGCAAGAGGGGGAGGGGCAGAGAGACAAGGGGACAGAGGATCCGAAGTGGGCTCTGTGATGACAGCAGGGAGCCGGATGCGGGGCTCAGGAACCTGTGGGGATTTACTTTAAAATAATCCAGTAGTGCTGGGGAGGGGGGGTCGGTGCGGGAAGGACTGAACAAGGCAAGTGTTGATAACTGTTGCAATAGCGTGAGAAGTTTATTATACAAAATTCTCTACTTTTATGTATATTTGAAATTTTCCATAAGAAATGTTTTCAAAAGATTTTAAACAATGATGAATATATAAAGATATCTAAAAGTATACAAAAGTCAAAAAAATTTTAAGAATTGCTACAACATTTAAATTGGTTAAATAGTTTATAATCTGAATTTTAGGTTAAGAATACATATTCTAATCCTGTTTGCCAAAATCTCTTCTTGATCTTATCTCCAGGTTCCCTTATTTTAAAATATCAAACACCTTGAGATTTTCTCAAACATTAGAAATGCCTTTAAAAATTAGTCAAAATTGATAAATGCGACTTAAATTTCTTTCAGTTCAATTTAGAAAAAAGTAGGCTTATGGCAATAGCAGAACACATATTAATAAGAAATTAAAATGGAGATTGTTGGGAGCACCTGGGTGGCTCAGTTGGGTGAGTGTCTGACTTTGGCTCAGGTCATGATCTCATGGTTTTTGAGTTCAAGCCCCACATCGGGCCCGCTGCTGTTAGCGCAGACCCGCTTGGGATCCTCTATCCTCCTCTCTCTGCCCCTCCCCTGCTTGTGCTCTCCCTCTCAAAAATAAACATTTAAGAATAAAAATAAATAAAATAAAATGTAGATTATTTTATGACATGAAAACCACCTAACCCTCTCCCACCAGACTATTTCTCCTTTCTACCCCCGTTAACTACTCCTCTCTTAGACTTCTCCAAGTTCCTTAAATGACGAGCTTTATTCTCTTTGCTTCTCTGTCTCTTCTACATGCTCTTCCTGAGTCAAATTATGTGCTCAATCTGACTTCATATAACACTCAAATCTCTACTGCTTGCCTGTCTCCTGGCCTCTCCTACCTTACAAAACCTCTCACTGGATTCTATAAACTCAACAAGTTCAGAACTACCCTTAATTTATTCCTTATCTCAGCAAGTAACAGCATCCATCCAAATGTTTAAATAGAAAATCTGGGTCACATCTCTGATCATTTCTTCTTCTTTAGTCAATCCTAGTTGGCAACCAAGTCTACCCAATTCTGTCTTCTAAACATCATATATAACCAAATATAAAACGTTCTCCCATTTTCCCCTGATAAGAAAACCTCCACGTACAAATACCAAGTATTTTGGCTCTGACCGAATGTACTAATTTGAAGAGATACAGATGAAAGCCAAATGCCCACTTGCAACATTTAATTCATTTATTTACTTCTATATATACTTCAGATTATATTATATAAAATATATTTAGAAATATTGCTTTACTCCATTATTATCTCTTTTTTTTAATGTTTATTTATTTATTTTGAGAGAGAGAGCTGAGGAGGGGCTGGGAGAGACGGGGAGAGAGATCCCCAAGCAGTACCTGCACTGTCAGCACAGAGCCTGATGTGGGGCTCGAACTCACAAACCATGAGATCATGACCTGAGCCCAGATCAAGAGTCAGACGCTTAACCAACTGAGCTACCCAGGTGCCCCTACCTCCATTATTATCTTTAACAATCCAAATTTTTCCTGCCTTTATCTCTGTGGTCTATACTGAACTTTATGTAAAAGAAACCATCTTAATGGTTTTAAGATTAACAATGTTGTTGCAAATAGCTACACGTTATAGGTATTCATTTTATGAATCTACCACAATTTATCTGTCTACTCTATTGGTGATGAACATTTGTATTATTTCCAGTTTTAGTGACTGGTTATAAACAATAATGCTATGAACATTCTATAATATGAATATAAGATTCTCTAGAATATATATCTCAGAGAGGAACTACTGGATCATTCAGTTCTATACCAAACTGTTTTCCCAATTAGTTTCCAATTTATATTCCTACTAACAGTGTATAATAAGTCTATTAGAATTTGATACATGGTTTCACTATATAAACTACTCTTCCTTCATTAATCTGAAAATGCTGATTATTTCAGTTTATCCACTTCTTAAAAATTTTTAAGTATGTTTATTTATTTTGAGAGACAGAGACAGAACACACCCATGGGGAAGGGACAGAGAGAGAGGGAGAAAGAGACAATCCCAAGCAGGTTTCACACTGCCAGCATGGAGCCTGATGCAGGGCTCAAATTCATGAACCGTGAGATCATGACCTGAACCGAAATCAACAGTCAAACACTTAACTGACTGAGCCACCCAGGCACCTCTCAGTTTATCCTCTCATACATGACTCTTTAAACTGACTTACCAAGATTTACATCTGGTAGTATCTTATCAAGAAATTGTGTTTCCCCGCCATTGGGGGAGAGAAAATCCGCCAGAAGTTGACTATTACTCAGTTCTGGGTGCTGCAGAAGTTTCTTAAATGAAAAAGGAAAAAAAAAGGGAAAAAACAGCTTAATAACCAGAAGGGTGATCAAAACTATATTAAAATGATTAAAAAAAACAATTATAAATCCTCAAAAGCTATTTTATCTGCAGAATAACAAAACTACATTTGTAGAAAGAATATATCACATAGCAGATAAGACTTCAACCTCTACAGTCAGACATGAAAGAATTTGAATCCTGGCTCTCTTCCATTTACCAGTGAGGTATCCCTAGAAAAGTTCCTAAACTACCTAAGAGTTTCCTCAAGTGTAAAATGAAGATAATACTACTCCTTACTTTATAACGTTATTATATAAAGCATTTAGCACAGTACCTGATACACAGGAAGATTAAACATTAGCTAATATTATTTCTGTGTCTCAACTATAAAACAAGTACTACAATATCTTGATAATTAAAAGAAGTTGGCACAAGGGTTTTGAAGAAAACTAAATGTAGAAATGTGAACTTGAAAAATTTGTTGTCTGTTCTTCTTGCAACACTATTTTCTTACAAGATAAACTGACTTTTTAAAGCCAAAATTAACCCAGTCTTACCTAATATTGTTTTGTAACTTGAAACAGTTGCAAAACTTTATGAGCAGAAATCTGTATAAATGAAATACCAGTAATAGCAACCTTTAGCTCCATATCACCAGAAAATACTCTTCTAGAATGCAGTACTTCCAATTCTTAGAAAGATTTAGTCCATTCAAATAATGGGTTAATGGTATCAACAAAGGCAAAGGTTAACATTCCTATATGCTGCATTCAAATATCCTTGCAGACGTTAATAATTTAAAGTTAATAACATAATAATAATAAAATATTTCATATTTCAATTTTCACGCCACCAAAAACTTATATAATGAATATTTTCTGGGCTGAAGTATTCAACAGTTTAAACACAAGAAATAAAATGTAAATATTCCTTTATACTGTTGAGTATTTTTTTAACTTAAAATACTTACTTTGGGCAAAGAGGCATCCAAATTTAACTGAATACTTAATAAAATCTAAAAAATTTCATGGCCAAATAAAGAAAAGGTTTTTTTAGGGGGCATCTGGGTGGCTCAGTTGGTTAGGCATCTGACTTTGACTCAGGTCATGATCTCACCGCCCATGAGTTCAAGGCCCATATCGGACTCTGCTGTCAGCACAGAGCCTGCTTGGGGATCTTCTGTCTCCCTCTCTCTCTGATCCTCCCCCACACCTTCTCTCTCAAAAATAAACAAACATTAAAAAAAAAGATTTTTTTAACAAAACAAAAAAAGTAAAAAGTATCCACTCTTTGGTCTTAGGCACTTGATTAAAGAAAGATGGTCATTAATTTTATATTAGTCTCAAGTAAGCAACTTTTTTTTTTTTGAGAGAGAGCAAGTGAGCACACGAGCGAGCATCCACAAGAAGGAGAGGGATGGAGAGAGAAGAAGAGAGAGAATCCCAAGCAGGCTCTGGCTGTCAGTGCAGAGCCCAATGCAGGGTTCAATCTCACAACCGTAAGATCATGACCTGAGCCGACACCAATAGTCGGATGCTTAACTGACTGAGCCACCTAGGCGCCCCTCAAGTAAGTAACTTTTAAATTGACTGCATCAACAATGGAAAACACATACCAATTACATTGTTTATATAACACCATGTGCACACACTAAAAAATAAAATAAAATTCGGACACCTGGGTAGCTCAGGGGGACCCTGGGTGGCTCAGTCGGTTAAGCATCTGACTCTTGGTTTCAGCTCAGATCGTGATCTCACAGTTCGTGGGTTCGAGCCTGGCATTAGGCTCTGCACTGGCAGTGCAGTGCCTGCTTGGGATCCTCTGTCTCTCTCTCTCTCTGCCCCTCCCCTACTCACTCTGTCTCTTTCTCAAAAATAAATAAACTTAAAAAGAAAAGAATTTTAGAAGTCCACATTGACAGGTATTTATAAAGCAAAATATATATATATACAAGAGAAAAAAAGATTAGAGAATGCTAGGATTAGCAATGTTTTAAATTAAGTTACTACTATACCTGTAGATATTCCTGAAATTCTTCTCTCTTTGACTTTAAGAATTCATAATTTTTGGGGCCAATGATCCTCTTGGAAGGAAGCTGGGCATCAGGAAATGTGCCTGAAATTAATATATATGTAAGTTATTACTATGTTCTGCTACCATCTTTAAAACCTAATTTATAATTCACTATGGCAAAATCAGATTCACAATGCTCTTACAGAGATGTGGCATTATCTTTTAAGTAATCTTGACAAAATCCATGAGCTTCACTTCAGAAGTCCAAACCAAAGAACCTGAATATACAGATATCCAAAATTTCACCAACTCTTCATTGACAAAGACTTATTTAGCCTTCGATACTAGTAAAAAAGCTTCAAAAACTTATCATGAGATTATCTTGAAGTTGGTGGGATTCTATTCAACAAAATCTTACAAAGAAATACCTACTCTATCATGGGAGAAAAGGTAGCATTCTGCTAATACTATACAAACTTAAAAAAACAAAATTTAAAAACCATGGACATTCAGGGCACCTGGGTGGCTCAGTTGATTGGGCATCTGACTTCGGCTCAGGTCATGATCTCATGCTTCATGGGTTAGAGCCCCGTGTTGGGCTCTGTGCTAACAGCTCAGAGCCTAGAGCCTGCTTCAGATTCTGTCTCCCTCTCTCTCTGCCCTGCCCCCTCTTACTGTGTCTCTGTCTCTCAAAAATGAATAATGTTAAAAAAAAAAAAATTAAAAAAAAATAAAAACAAAAAACATGGACTTGCTTTCTCAAATAGGGCTGACTAGAAATTTAAATACCAAAAAAGAAAAATATTGTTGGGAATCCAATCAACTTAGGTTGATCCAGGACTTTAAAGTATAGAATAAATTATCTTCTCTCAACTCTAAACCCAAAGGAAAATTTCTCAGAGAAAGAATGAGACAAGAATGACATTGCACAAAACTGGCAGAGAAAAAGAAAAACCATTTTTTAATTTATTCATTTATCTATCTATCTATCTATCTATCTATCTAGATTATTTAAGAGAGAGCAAGCGGAGGGGGGCAGAGGAAGAGAGAGAAGAGAATCTTAATTGTGTAGAGCCCGATGCAGGACTCAACCCCACGATCCTGGGATCATGACCTGAGCCAAAATCAAGGATCAGACGCTCAATCGAGTGAGCCACTCAGGTGCCCCAAGAGAAAACCATTTAAAGACAAGTACAAATTCAAAATCTAAGCAAAAAGATTGGAATGGGACCTTGTATTTTTTTTTTACCTTCCTGTAGTCTCTTTATCAAGTGTTTTACTTAGAGCACTTAGTAAAGAAGGGTAAAAAAGGTTCCTGTCCTCAATAGAGAACCAACCTGAATTTGGATCAGGGACACTCCACAAAGCTGGTCTAAAAGAAAAAGATTCAGAATACACAAATAGAACTCACCAATCTACATGCAAAATGACTGGAAATACTTTATAACTACATCCTTGATATTAACTAAAATAGATAAGACAGACTGAGAGGTGAAGAGAATACCTAAAAAAAGGAAAGTGCTCCCCTTTTCTGATTGATCTAACCTTAAAAGAAATATTACAAGTTTTGTCTTCATATCTAAATCTAAGAGCTAAATCAAAACATTTGTCATGATTCAGAGCAAACATGTTTATCAAGAAAGATGGTAGTAAAAGAGCAGAGCAACTCTAAAATGCCTGGTTTAAATTCTCTGCTACATGGAAATAAACAAAAATTAAACTGGAGAGAGAAACTTTTCTACAATACAATTAAACAATAGCTATCTTTTAAATTTTAATATTATTGAGGTGCCTGGGTGGCTCAGTCAGTTAAGTGTCCAACTTTAGCTCAGGTCATGATCTTGCAGTTCGTGAGTTCAAGCCCCCGGTGTTGGGTTTTCTGCTGACAGCTCAGAGTCTGGAGCGTGCTTTGGATTCTGTCTCCCTCGCTCCCTGCCCCTCTCCTGCTCGTGCTCTCTCTTTCCCTCTCTCTCTCATAAATATTTTTTAAAAAATTAATAAGTAATACATGTATACTGTAAAAACTTCAAAAATATTTGTAAGCAGAAATAAGATAAAAACAGTACATTCCTATATTAATAGCAGTGTACATAAGTGTTAAGTATTACACTTCTTTGCATAATTACTTAAAATAAAAAAATGAATCTAGTTCAACAGCTTCTTCAAGAAAGCTAATACTAAAATGTAATGTTTTATACAAAAAGGACAACATACCATGAAACTCTGTTAGTTTTGATTCAAGTACATAGAATTCAAGATATCTTCTATAGACAGACCAATGTTCAGGCTCATGCCCAACTGTAAATTGAATGGATACACAGTAAGTAATAAATAATTTTATAAACTACTATAAGAAATTCTTCCAGTCTTAATGATTTATTATTCCTTAACATCACATTATTAACATATTTTATCCCATATCTTAATTTTAAATTTCTTAAGGGACTGATAAACTTCACCTATTTATGAAGTTATCTCAAAACACATTTTTCTAGAAAAGAATCATAGAGCTGACAGAAATTTAAAACAATTATACAGTCAAGATTTTTAAGTGTCACAGAAATAAATTATGTATTTCATAAAAACTTGTAATCAATTTTGGGTCCCTCAAATATTTACCAATTGTCCTGATCTAATACAGTATAGAACAGCACTATCAAACAGAGCTATCTGCAATTCTGGAATGTTCTCTATTATCTGCATTAATATAGTAGATATTAGCCACATGTAGTTATTGATCACTTGAAATGTGACTATTGTAAGTAAGGAACTAAAATTTTAATATAATTTAATTTTAACTGGTACATGAAGCTAGTGGCTACCAAACTGAATAGCACAAAGTAATGGTTTACACAATGAGTTGAGTCAGACTGCCTATTCCAATCCCAGCTTCCCCATTTATTAAGTGAACTAGAACAAATAACCTCACTGTGCCTTAAGTTGCTTAGAATAAAAATAAGTGGGGCGCTGGGGTGGCTCAGTCAGTTTAGCATCTGTCTCTTGATTTTGGCTCAAGTCATGATCTCAGGATCATGGGATTAAGCCCCGTGTCAGGCTCAGCACTGAGTATGGAGGCTGCTTGGGATTCTCTCTCTTCTTCTTTCTTTGCCCCTCTACCTCTCTCTCTCTCTCTCTCTCTCTCTCTCTCTCTCTCTCTCTCTCTGTCAAGAACAAATAAATAGGGGCGCCTAGGTGGCTCAATTGGTTAAGCGTCCAACTACAGCTCAGGTCATGATCTTGTGGTTTGTGGGTTCACACCCCACATCGGGCTCTGTGCTAACAGCTCAGAGCCTGTAGCCTCCTTCGGATTCTGTGTCTCCTCTCTCTGTCCCTCCCCTGCTCACACTCTGTCTGTCTGTCTCTCTCTCTCAAAAATAAATAAACATTAAAAAGTTTTTTTAAAAAGAACAAATAAATGTTTTTAAATAAAAAAAAAAAAAAGAAAAACAAATAAGGGGAATTATTAGCACTGACCTTCATGCTGTAATACTTCATCAGTCCTCTCTCAAAACCATTTCCTAACACTGCCATTTTCTTTCCTTCTTTCACCACAAACAGTTCCCTCTTTCTGAGCTCAATTTTATCTTTCTGTTCATCATTCCCAAAATGTGCACAAGTTTGATGTGCTTTTGTTTACACTGAATGCCCTACTTCTTGGGCAAAAGCCAGGGTGGTGTCTGTTATCTCATCATGGATACTATTTACACCTATATCTATTAGTCCACACCTGAAACAACCAAAAGAAGACAGGAAAACATGATGAAAACCTCTCACATTGTGTTTTATCACATTTTTATAAATTCTAATTAGCCCACAACAATGGAGGAGGAGAAATGCTGTCTTAATGAAATTGGTATAATACCCAATATAGTGCTATGTGGGTTACTAATAATAAGTATAATGGCTAATGATGGTAGCAAAACCATTAAAAGAACATTACATAAAATGCCCTGCTGCATTGTCAGGTGTCTCACAGGTGGCATATGCATTGGTTGAACAAACTAATTAGTTAAGTGGTACTAGAGATAACCTAGAAAAGCCTAAGTTTTCATTCAATTTTCTGTTCGGACACTTATCTTTTGAATGTTTGCTTATTTTTGAGAGAGAGAGGAGGAGAGGCAGAGAGAGAAGGAGACAGAAGATCCCAAGCAGGCTCTGCACTGACAGCAGATGCAGGGCTTGAAACCCATGAACCGTGAGATCATGACCTGAGCCAAAGACAAACGCTCAACTGACTGAACCAACCAGGCGCCCCCAGACACTTATCTTTTGGACATGCAGTCATACTCAATAGTCACAAATGGCAAAATGTTTACCATTCCTGACAAATAGACTAACTGGCGCCTTTTAAGAAATGTATTCAGAGAACTTCCTACCTGCTCTTCTATCATTTCTTTCAACATCAATACAAAACACAGGTATTCTCTCCTTCTTCTCCTTCCTTTCAGAGGAGGGATCTTCAAAAAAGTCTACATATGGAATGCTAATTTTCCATGCAGCAAGGTTTCGGGGAGTATTAGGTGTGCTCACAGCTTCCACTGGAGAATCATCTTCCATTACAACAATACCTTCTTCAATCTAGAAAAAAAATCATCAGAAAAAAATTTAACATTTCCAGGTCCTCAGACCTATAGCATACAAGATACAACTATAAAGAATGTGCCCATATAAATTCCTAATTTTCTACTACTTCTGAAATTAAAAGATACTAAATTTTCTACTAAAAATATAAAGATAAATTAAAACTAACAAGTTACTAGCATCAACTCCAGGTTCTGTCGTATCACCTGTATGTGCAAATTCCATAGAAAGGAGAAAATAGGCACTTCAGAGATTAACGATATTGAAAATACACAAGTATAAAAACATATTTAACTTTGGTAATAAGAAGAAAAAATTAATGTACTGATATTTTTTCGTTTTGACAATATGTGTTTTTTTTAACGTTTTTTTTTTTTTTTTTAATTTATTTTTGAGACAGAGAGAGACAGAGCATGAATGGGGGAGGGGCAGAGAGAGAGGGAGACACAGAATCAGAAACAGGCTCCAGGCTCTGAGCCATCAGCCCAGAGCCCGACGCGGGGCTCGAACTCACAGACCACGAGATCGTGACCTGAGCTGAAGTCGGACGCTTAACCGACTGCGCCACCCAGGCGCCCCGACAATATGTATTTAGAAAGAACCATAGCACAGTTTCAACTAAGTACAGGTGGTCGCTGACTTAAGATAGTTAAACTTACGATTTTTCAAATTTACCAAGATGCAAAAGCGATATGCATTCGGCAGAAACTATACTTTGAATTTTTAAAAAATTTTTTGACGTTTATTTATTTAATTTCAGAGAGAGAAAGAGCACAAGCGGGGGATGAAGAGGAACAGAGAGAGAGAGAGAGGGAGAAAGAGAGAGTCCCAAGCAAGTCCTGAGTTGTCAGCATGGAGCATGATGTGGGTCTTGCAAGGTAAACAACCAATACATTATACAACCATTGTTTTTACTTTCAGTACAGTATTCAATAAATCACAAAGGTAAACAACCAATACACTATACAACCATTGTTTTTACTTTCAGTACAGTATTCAATAAATTACATAAGACAGTCAACACCTTATGATACAATGGGCCTTGAGTTAGATGATTTTGCCCAACTGTAGGCTAATGTTACGTGTTCAGAGCTTGTTTAAAGTAGGTTATTTTCAACTTATAATGGGTTTATCAGAATGTAATCCCATTGTAAGTTGAAGAAGATCTTTTAACTCCTTTCTGGGAATGCAGTCTAATGAAAGTATTTATTCCAAGTCAATCTTTTTAAAACTGTGGAAAAGATACAAGTATAAATATATTCACTACAGCTTAAGTAATGTCAAAAATGAAAAATGGCCTGAAAGGGATCCACCTTCATAGAATTAAGGTTATTTTTTCATCTCTTGGCTTCTAAAATTTTCATAATATAAATGTCTAAAATAATATTTTAAAATATTACATGAAGAACAATTATTTTTAGAAAGAAATTTTATTTTATTTATTTATTTATTTTTTTAACATTTATTCATTTTTGAGACAGAGAGAGACAGAGCATGAACGGGGGAAGGTCAGAGAGAGAGGGAGACACAGAATCCGAAACAGGCTCTAGGCTCTGAGCTGTCAGCACAGAGCCCGACACGGGGCTGGAACTCACAGACCACGAGATCATGACCTGAGCCGAAGTCGGACGTCCAACCGACTGAGCCACCCAGGCGCCCCTAGAAAGAAATTTTAAACATGTTCTAGAACTACACATACAGAAAGGAGGAAAAACTGTCCCAACTTAATTAAATTAGAAAAAATCCTCTAGAGAAGCCTGGATGCCTCAGTAGGTTATGTGTCTAACTCTCGATTTTGGCTCAGGTCATGATCCCACAGTTTGTGGGTTCGAGCACTGCACCGTGCTTACACTGTGAGTGCAGAGCCTGCTTAGGATTCTTTCTCTCCCTCTCTTTGCCCCTCCCCTGCTCATGCTTGCTCGCTCACTCTCTCTGTCTCAAGTAAACATTTTTAAAAAATTAGAAAAACCGGGATGCCTGGGTGGCTCAGTTGGTTAAGCGTCTGACTTCGGCTCAGGTCATGATCTCACAGTCTGTGAGTTTGAGCCCTGAGTCGGGCTCTGTGCTGGAGCCTGCTTTGGGTTCTGTGTCTCCGTCTTTCTCTGCCCCTCCCCCACTTGTGCTCTGTCTCTTTCTCTCTCAAAAATAAATAAAAATTTTAAAAAATTGGCAAAAAAAAAAAAAAAAAAAGAAGAAGAAGAAGAGAACCTCTGAATTGGCACATTAAAACACCTGGTCACTTATACATCTAAAATTCATGTTAAAGAAAGCCAAATATTACAGATAAAACACATCCATCTTGAATATACTTTTTTAAGGCAATGAGTCAAAGATTTCTCGTACTTAACAAGAAATCTGAAAAGTCTATTCTGAGCAAACCAGTAGTGGAGAGAGATTTATTTCCACAATTTTAGCACCCTAACTTTCACTCTCAATTCTACTTCTTCCCACACCTGGCAGTCACCTTTTTTTTTTTTTAAGTTTTATTCATGTTCTTAATGTTTATTTATTTTTGAGTGGGTGGAGGGACAGAGAGAGGGAGACAGAGGATCCAAAGCAGGTTCCACACTGACAGCAGAGCCAGACTTTGGGCTCGAACCCACGAACCATGACATCATGACCCGAGCCAAAGTCAGATAATTAACCAACTGAGTCACTCAGGTGCCCCAGTTTTATTTTGAGAAAGAGAGAGAGAGAGAGAGAGAGAGGAAGGAACACACACAAGTGGGGTAAGGGCAGAGAGAGAGAGAGAGAGAGACAGACAGACAGACAGACCCAAGCAGATTCTGCACTGTTAGGGCAGAGCCTGATGCAAGGCTTGAACTTATGAACCACAAGATTATGACCTGAGCCAAAGTCAGATGCTTAACTGAATGAGCCACCCAGGTGCCTCAGCCACCTCTCTTCTAAGTGAATTCTCTTCTCCCACAAAGTCCCTTAGCAATTATTCTTTTTTAATTTTTTTTTAATGTTTATTTATTTTTGAGAGA